ATCCCGACGGCGTATCATTCCGGAAAAGATCCACCGTCGACGCCGAGGTTGAGGTCGACGAGACCATCGGTTCTACCGATCAAATCCCTTCCTTCAACGTTGCGGCTTCCGATGACGAGGACCCCATTCCACGGCCGATCGGAAGAAAGAAGGCAAAATCCATTGCCTCTGGTTCGGGAGGGTCCGCCTCTATTTCCGCTTCTCCCCGCGACGAAATCGGCCGGGCAATGGTTGAACAACTTCGGGCGTTCAATCTCCAAGAACAAGATAGGTTGAAGCTTAAAGAGAAGGAGTTGAAGCTAAAGGAGCAGGAGGCCGAGATGAAAGTCATGCAAACCGACCCCGGGACGTTGTCGGAGTTTGGACGAATTATCTACGAGCAAAGAATGAGAGAGATCAAGGAGAAATATAATTTACCTTAGTTTTTTTTATTAATGTATCTTTTTTTTTAAATTATTGTCACTTTTTTTATTTAATTAATGTGTTTTTTTATTATTCGTGTTTCAATTTAATTAGATAATAAATTAATTACATTTTATTAATTTAATTTTAGAAGATGTATATTTAAAAATGTAAAAAATGAAGGTTTGAAGCCCAGTTTTGAAGCCCCGGTGCTTCAAACCCATTTCCAGTGAATTTTGGGTGTAAGTTAAAGCTGACGTGGCAGAGAGAGAAAGTTTGAAGCCCCGGTTTGAAGCCCCGGGGCTTCAAACGTATTACCAGTGCTCTTATATTGGCCCCTATCTTATAACAACAAGAAGTGTCATATTACAAAAATAAGAGCTTACGATTTTTATTCAAAAAATTGATGATTCTTATTTTCTAAACTTTTATTATTAAGACATGCATGCCACGTATTAAGAGCATTTGCAGCAGCATGTAAGTTTGATGACCCGCATGCCACATCGCTTCCCAACACATCTTTTGCCTTACAACATACTCCGTAACGCATAGAGTGGTATCCCATTGCACCACGTAGAGAGAGCCATGCGCAAGACACCATTTTGGTTTATATATTCTTTTCTTTTTTTCTTCTTACATATGCATTTTTTTTCTTTTGTTGATAATTAAACTAATATATAATACTATGGGCCTGTTTGAGAATAGCGTTAGCGATTAGCGTTGGCGTTTTGAAAAGGCTATCTACGGTCAGCGTTTAGCGTTAGCATTTTCAAAGTAATCTGCACCGTTAAAATTTTATCCAAAACGCTAACGCTAATCTCTAACGCTATTCCCAAACAGGCCCTATAAATACACCAAAAAATATAAAAAGTTACTAAAGCAACTACTTGCCGGCTGCCGCGGCATGTTACGTCACTCCACTCACTTGCCACTCTCTATTTGAATTGTTTTTAATTGGTTGAATAATGCCTTGTCGGCGTGTAACATTCTATTTCTTACTAAAATTTTAGATGAATCTTAAACACATTTTAAAATTCAACATGTTAGGTGTACACCAAGAAATGTAATCAAGTTATACTCCAAAGAGATACACCGATATTTTAACAGTTCACACTAGCACAAAATACTAGTTCAATAAAAAAGTGCACTAATATTTTGTGTAATTGTAAACCATTACACTAACATTACACTAGCACAAAATGTTGGTGAATGTCTTTGGAGTACAAAGTGAGATATATTTTTTGGGGTACAAATAGTTTAATTCTTTAAAATTTAAACACTTAATAAGAGCTAGACAAAAAGTTACCCAATTTTTAAAACAACAATCAGCCACTTGAATCCCACAAAAATTTGGAGAGACTCCCATTTAAGTAACAGACACATATAATACTAAGAGAAATGCTAGAGTCACAAACACTTTAGTCTCAAAATACACAAACTTACCATTTGTGTATTTAAATGTTAAATTTTTAATTATTCAACATCATTTTATTCATTTATTTAATGAAGTGCACACTCTAGCATTTCTCTAATACTAATAGCACATGCTTGTGCATTCAAAAAAAAAAAAAATAGCACATGCTTGTAAAGACAGATAAAACATCAAAAGCAGAAAGCACCCAAAAAAACACGTGCTACGTAATATTTAGAAAGATACAGCAAGCAAAACCCAGTCCAAAATGCTCTCAACAGATACATTCCGAAAAGTAAAATTTGCAGTTAAAATTATACACTCAAATGCTCTGAAGTGTAACTTTAAGAGATGCTTATTTCATACTCGGACCAAACCATCCACTCAAACTATACACTCCATACCCAGAAACACACAAGAAGTATAAAAACGTCCAGCTAACACATAGCATAATTAGACCATAACAGATACCCTTTTCAACCTCAGGCAGGAAATCTGAGAACAATTCTTGGGTGTTTAAACGGTGAGAATTGGGGGGAGATAGTTGGATTTGGTTCCGAGCACCCGCGCCTTAGTATCCGGGAAACACTCAAAGCCAGGCAGCTCAGTGACCTCTCCATTTTCAGTGACGCCAATGGGGTAGCTAAGGAGATGGCCCGGCAGGTCGTGTTCCAACAACGCCTCCTCGCCCGAGTACAGGTTCCAGTTCTTTTGGGCCATCTGGTTCACCATCCCAATGCATTCAGTGCTCTCCGGATGCTCAAACCCGTTGTTCAGCACTCCCAGATGCTCGTACCACAACGCCATCCGGAACCCGTGGACCTGCCCGCGGGCTGGCTGCGTCACCGACAGGTGGTGTGGCTGGTACGCTCCCATTGCTATTTCTGAGTCCCGCGCTCCGTCCATTGACCGCTGGTTTATGTTCGCTGATCCAACGATTATGTACTCATCATCCACTGCCACATTACAAGCAAAGATTGTGTTATAATATAATAGACAAACTTGAGATTTGGTTTCCTGACAATATGGTATTAGAGCCTTGCTGAGAAAAGACAAGTATTATATTACCTATCATCATCTTAGCGTGAACATATATCATGAATCTCCGGGCTTCCTGAGCTCTGCTGTAGTCTGTGCCGTTGTCAGGTTTCTCAGAAGGCACGTATTCGTCGCCTTTCATGGCTTCCCTATTGCCAAGGCAGAAGAAACTCAAGTAGTCCTTTGGGTCCGCGACGATCCCTTTTGCTTTGAGTGCTTGAACTATGTCCGTGTACATCATTTGCATGGTCCTCCTCTGCCAGTCAAGAATCGCCTGCACCGAGGCGCTCTCTGGGTACCCCTCTGGCCACATTGGGACCACGATGTAGACCGTGAACCTCTCCCCGGCTTCGATCTTGCTCGCGATCTTCAGCGACAGCTCTTTCGGCACGAGGTGCAACGCGTTGATGGATTCGTCCTTGATGTCGCCCGAGTACCAAGAGAACGAGCTCCCCAAGAAGTACTGGTTCTCTATGTATATGAACCTTTTCGCGCGGCGAATGGCGTGGATGTACGCGTCCTGGATGCTCCTGTCAATGATGTTGTCCTTCCCACTCACGAGGCCGGACTTCGCGGCGTCCTCCGGTGCATCCGGGAAGCCGAAGGCGGCACCACCGTCGATGGACCTGAAGACCTGAACGTTCCACGTTTCTTGATCGTCCGGGTATGTTACAGGCGAAGGGGGGATGAATATGCCCTCAAGACCTCTCAAGTCGACGAGCAAGTCTTCGCCCCCTTGTTTCCTCCATCTCTGCTCGAAATTGAAGAGCACGTCCCAAGCCGCGGGTCCTTCCAAACGCGAATGGATATCGTGCCAGGGCTCCCTCGGCCCGCCCTTCCTGATGGAGGCACCTTCGAAGTTGGGCTGGTGGAAATCATCACGGTGGGCCGTGTTCAGCGTCCTAAAGAGGGGGTGAAATGGGGAATCGTAGCGCCCGTCGCAGAGGTCAATCCCT